TTTTGTTTCCTCTAACCTTTCTTTTTGTATTACTTTAATTTTCTTCTTTTGCCCCCTACCCAAAATTTATCCACAATCTTGCAACTTTCTTTAGAATCTCCGAGCACGTGTCATCAGCAAGAGAGCTGTGCAACTCCCCCTTTGTGGTGATTCTTTATCTTTTAAAATCCACCCTTTGCAAGACCCCCGCTTTTTTCTCTTACAAACCCTTATAAAAATATAAAAACCCCGGGGGGCCCCCCCCCCACCCCCCCCCCCCCCCCCCTTTTTTTCCCCCCGGGGCATCAACACCCTTTTTTAAGGCCTACTTTTATGGGAAAAAATTTCCCCTCTTTCCTACATCTCAACTTAGCCTCATTTCTTTAAAAATCTTCATTTTTTCAGAACCTCCTCCTACACATACACTTGAACATCTGCCCCATTGCCCCTATCCCCCCTGTTACGTTTTTCCAAAATCCTAAATGCCAAAAAGCTCTTTAGCCTTATCAAAATATGTTCATTTAAATTTGTTTCCTGTAAACACCTGGTCACAACCCCCCCTTTCCCTAAAGCCTCCTTTTTTCTTGCTACCCTTTCCCGTTTACTTTTAATTCTTTCAATTAAAAACTCTCCCATACACTTTACCAGGTACATCAACAGACTTTTTCCCTTTAAAATTTTTGACTCTTTTTATCCCCCTTTTCCTTTTTCAAAAGGGAAAATGCTGCTCTCTGCAATCCCCAGGTACCTTTCCCCCCTTTCTAATTTATTTAAAAAATTTAACCCTCCCAAAACTTTCCCCACCGCTTTTAACTTTTATCTTTATCCCCTCAATCCGGGTGCCTTACCCTTTCATTTTACCCTGCCTCACGAAATTCCCCCACACTCACAATGGTTTCCCCCTCCCACAGATGTTATTTTCCTTGCCCCATCACGAAATCACAGTTCCCCATTTTTCAAATTTAAATTCCTCAAATATTCCTTCCCCTTTTCCCCAAAACCCCTTAACTCTCCTTTAATAATTCCCCTCCTATTTTTTTAAATGACAAATCCCTTTGTTCTTAGGCTTTCTTAATTGTTAATCTCACTCCAAACTTTTTCTTATTTTCAACAAAATTTGGATAACATCTCACCCCCCTCTATTTTCTCTCTTTTTACTTCTTCACACTCTTTAATCTCTCTTTTTCTCCCTTATCTTCCCCCCTTGCATCACTTCTACTTTGTAAAAAAATTCTTTTTGCTAACTTTTTTTCCCTTTCTACTCTTTACTCATATTCCCCCTAAACGTCCCCTTTTCCCCCTCACCACTTTCCCGTAACCACAAAATTGGGTGAAAACTTAAACTACATTTTTAAACCCCACCCATACCTCTTCGCCCCTTTGCCTATGCTCTCTTTTGCCCCTCTTTTCCCAAAAGTGTTTATTTCTTACCTACTGCCCCCTCTTTTAGTTTAAAACCTTTACCTCTCTCTTCCCTGATGCTTCTATTCTCCTTGTATCCCATTCCCTTTACTCTCAGTGTAGCTACAACTAGAAAGTGTTTCTGATATATCTGTGGCCCCTCTATAAACATGTACATCCTGAAGTCTACTCAACAGTCTTTTATCTCCCAATACATAATCCAACAAACTACTGTCTTTTCGCCCACATCATATCGTGTATACTTATTTATCCTCTTTTTTTTAAAATATGTATTACCTATAACTAAACCCTTTCTATACAAAGTTCAATCAAAGGGCTCCATTATCATTTACACCTGGCACCCCAAACTTACCCACCACACCCTCTCTAAAAGTTTCTCTACTTTAGCATTCAGGTCCCTACCACAATTACTCTCTCACTTGGGTTCAAAGCCTCTATACATTCACTTAACATTTTCCCCAAAAACTCTCTCTCTCCTCTGCATTCCTTCTTCTCCAGGTGATACACGCTTATTATGACCCACTTCTCGCATCCAACCTTTACTTTAATCCACATAATTCTTGAATTTACACATTCATATTCTCTTTTCTCCTTCCATTTAAATGATCATTTAACATTACTGCTACCCCTTCCTTTGCTCTAACTCTCTCAGATCTCCGATTTAATCCCATTTATTTCCCCCCACTGAAACTCTCCTACCCCCTTCAGCTTTGTTTCGCTTAGGCCAGGACATCCAACTCTTTTCATTCATAACATCAGCAATCATTTTGTTTCATTGTCATCCGCACTAACCACGCACATTTAAGCAACCAGTTTTATAAAGTTTTTCTATCTTCTCTTTTTTAGTAATTGTATACAGGAGAAGGGGTTACTAGCCCATTGCTCCCCGCATTTTAGTCGCCTCATACGACACGCATGGCTTACGGAGGAAAGATTCTTTTCACTTCCCCATGGACAATAGAAGAAATAAAAAAGAACAAGAGCTATTTAGAAAAAGGAGAAAAACCTAGATGTATGTATATATATATATGCATGTAGTGTCTGTGAAGTGTGACCAAAGTGTTAGTAGAAGTAGCAAGATATCCCTGTTATCTTAGCGTGTTTATGAGACAGAAAAAGAAAAAAAACCAGCAATTACATCATGCAAAATACATATTACAGGTTTTTGTTTTCACAGTTCATCTGGCAGGACGGTTTTAGTACTTCCTGGGTAGTTGCTGTTACCAACCTACTACCTAGTATATATTATAAATATTATATATATATATATATTTATATATATATATATATAATATATATATATATATATTATATATATATATTATATATATTATATATATAATATATATATATATATTTTATATATATTTTATAGGCTGCTGTTTCAATACCACTTGTTTCGTGGTTTCGTTACTTTATATATTTAGTAGCCACGAACAAGTTGTATTTAATTATTAAAAAACACTGTGACTAGCCGGAGAATCAAACCCGTGTTGTTTTAGCCCACCTCATGGTGAGCGAAATTCACTACGCTCTGACTCACTGGACCATACAATCCTGTCCTAGGATCGGATGGCCCAGTGAGTTAGAGCGTAGTGAATTTTCGCTCACCATGAGGTGGGCTAAAACAACACGGGTTTGATTCTCCGGCTAGTCACAGTGTTGTTACACACACACACACACTCATATTATATATATATATATATATATATATATATATATATATATATATATAATATATATATAATATATATATATATACGGGAAATTTTTTATTAAAGTTAATCGTTTCAGTGATCTTTCGCCGTCATTAGGATCTGTCAGATATTACATAGATGTACACATCAAGGAACAGCTTTCCTCAAGATCATAACAGTAGAGAAAGTTAAAACATATACAGACTGCAATAAATAGGTGAGGAGAGTATGTTAGAACAGGTGAAGACAGTCAGATGCTACATTACGTTCACTGCAGCCATTGAGGTCAACTAAATAAGAAAACGTAAAGGGGAAGAATAATAATCCCGTGACAGATACATTGTCAGTAAGTTGCCATTGTTTCACTGCAAATAATTCAGTGGCAAATACGTTGTCTATCAGTTCAGACTGCTTCCTTGTAAATAATCCAGTAGCAGAGATACATTGTCAGGAAGTTTAGGTCTGAACTAATATACAAACTTTAAAATTCTTACATTTAACTTATGTTTTGACACTGATGTAATATTAGCCATTTGCACATAATATATGATCTTTAGTCTCAAAATATAGTCTTAGGGTTGAAAAAGGTTGATTTAATCGCTTTAGTAAGTGCCCTTTATGACTTACTGTACCTCGGTGTTGACACTCGAGTTTGGATGTGTCCAAAAAGTGTTACCAATATATTTTGTACTAAAGCTAGAATAAAATGATGAACATCAATGTACTTGTTTTAACTGTAATATTAGAGATATCGCTTGTACTTCCAAACTAGAATGTGAACATAGAGATATGCCGTACAGGGCTCTAGCTAAATAAAATAGCTGAACCTCCATTTTCAACCATAAGACTACATTCTGAGACTAATGTAATATTCCTTGGGCTAATTGCTTCAGAATTACAGTAAAGACACAAAATAGGCTAAGCTTTAAGAACGGTAGAAAGTCTGTTAATTAAGCACTTCAAACTTATACTCACAATATAGCTGCAGTTGAATTGTTTATGCTGAAATAGTCGAGTGTCCCTTGTTAAAGTTTCTTATCAAGTTGACCTTGAAGAGTGCAGTGTGTGGATGTAGTCAGGTCCTGTCTTCTTACCTGCCTGCCTACCTGCCTGCCTACCTGTCTGCCTACCTGTCTGTCTTCCTGTCTGCCTACCTCCACCTGAGGTAACATACTCTCCCCAGTATGTTGTTTTAGTCTGTACTGGTTTGACTTACTCTACTACTGCGTAATAAATCTGTTCCTTGAGTTTACGTGTAGTTGAGTAATATTTTACAGATTTTAATGGGGAATGATTAGCTAAACATCTAAATTTAATATGCTGACCTTAGAGACAAATCTGGTCGTTTCATTTACTTCATACATGATGTTGAAGTTTGTATATGTATATATAATCATACATTTATCCTTCGTCGTGTAATTAAAGCACACATACTAGTGCATTACTCCGTAAATAACCAAAACTCTCAGCCCATCCAGTAAATTTCTTATAGTCATATTAATTCAAAGCTTATTAGATACGTATTCCTTATCCTAGAATAAAACGTAATTTAATCTACACCTTAAAAAATAAGACATTTTTTGGATTCCTTCTCTTGATTGTTATTTTTTAAATACCTATTTTTTTTTACTTTTACACCTTTTTTTTTTTATACTTAAACACCCTATATATAAACATTTTCCTGTTACACTGTTAAAACCCTGAAATATAACTCCTCACTCTTACGTATTTTGCGTTTTTTTTTTAACGAACCTTTAAAATCTAAACACTTCTTTTAAAACCTTGGAATATAACACTTAAAATATAACCTTAAAATATTCGTATTCTATTACGAGATTGTTTCTTGGAGAACTACGAAGATTTCCTTCTGAATTCTCACAAACTTGTTTCTGGTGACTTTATATAAAAACTTATAAACTTTTCTCTCATCTTCTTAAATCCTGATAATTTAAATATGATTTTCCACTTTGTTTCACCACTTCTTCTCCTTACTAAATAATTGAGGTACCTAATATAAATTCTCTTTCCTTTCCTTTATTTTCCTATTCCTCAATGGAAGAAACTTCAAATGTCTAATACAGTCGACTATAGACTCCGAAGTTTTGTCTATCTCCTCAGTTTAAAAAACTTTTGTACAGGTCATTTTTCTTTCCCTGACCTTATCATCCGCAACTTCTCTTTTTAAATGGTGAGCAGCTTTGCAATTACCCATTTTAAACTTATTTTACACATTTTCCATTGCTTGTCCTCTTTGCCTTCTCCCCCTTTGATACTCTTCCTGTCTCCTCGCCATCTTCTTGTATCCTTGTCAGTGAGAGCTGTTAACGCAGGCACTTTGAGGAAATCTGGTGTCCTCCTGGGAGGATTGAGATAGGCGTTGGCCCACCTGGGGAAAATTCAGTTGTCGTTTGCAGGTTAAGGTAGTCAGAGGCCCACCGGGGGATGATAATGTTAGCTCCAGAAGTTTTTGGGAATGATAGGGTTAATGCGTAGAATGTGTATGGAAGTCGTTAGTCCTTCAGGGTTGAGAGAATCTAAGGTCCACCTTGGAATAATAACATTAGCGCTGATAGGGTGAGGCAGCCGTAGATCCACCTGTCAAAATTAGTTATCATTGACAGGGTGAGGCAGATGGAGACTACCTTGCAAGTGACAACTGAGGAGGGAATAATAGTGTTAGCACTAGATATTTCAGATAGTCGGAGGCATACCTGGGAATAATATTGCTATGAGAGGGTGAGGTAGTCGGAGGCTCACCTGGGAATAATGATGTTAGCACAGGCATGATGGGGCAGTAGAGCAGCCCACTTGGAAATAAAAATAGCAATAATGGTCATCGGTGGAACACGGTTGGTGGGGCGCTGTCTCGGGGACCCTGGTGAATAAGCAATGAAAAAGATGCGTACGCAGGCAAAGAGTGGCCGGTGGGCCATGGGGGGAAGGGGTGCCACCTTAATGCCTCCAGTAGTGTGCTGGATTTGTCCACCCTCCCCCCTCGTCCTGGGTCTCCCCCACCCATTTCTAACACATGCCCTCCATGTTAGGTCCTTCCCTCCCTCCCACTCTTCCCACCTCACCCCCTCTCTCCTTGTCTACTAACCCCCCCCTTCCTTTCCCCTCCCATTGGTCGAAGTCATGGCGTGTTTAGTTAGTGTAGCGTTGAACACCCAGGTGAGTGTACCTCAGTGCCTGTCTCCGTCCTGCTCTATACTACACTGCACACTAAGTCAGGCAACCACAGCTTCTGCACTCGTAACTCTACCTGCAGCAGCCTTCAACACTTACAACACTTCTTGATGATAACTTCGACATTCACAACACTACCTGCTGCTGCCTTCAATACCCAAGCCACTACCCGATGCTAACCTCTACACTCTTGATAGTGTAGCAGCCCTCAACACTCAACACTACCTCATGGCAACCTCGACACTCATAACACTATACTACCTGCAGCAGCCTTCAACGCTTACAACACTACCTGATGCTTCAATCAACACTACCAGTCGTTTCCCTCAATACCTTCAGCACCCCTGTCATTACTTCGTGTTACCAGAAGTACAGCGAACACTGTCGAACGCTCACTTTGTGCCTCTGAAGGTGACATGGATATTACCAATCTTCATTGAACGTCTTTACTGAACCTTCCTCAGAGTCCTTACTTGAGTGAGGGTGGAGGATCTTGGCCTCTGTGTACCGAGCACGTCCACAGTATCCTCAGACTAGTGTTGGAATTACATGTATGTTCAGTAAATTGCGGGCCATTTAATGATTCATGGTAAAGTAACCCTTTCCTTTCCCCTTCTGATCCTCTTTGACATCATAGAACGCCCCTTCTCCCCCTGCTACTCACTCCTACGCCTGTAATAAAACGCCACTAGTGACGTACTATTAATTCCGGGTATTCTTTGTGCTATTTTGTTGCAAAGATTAGCGTATAGCGTGAGGGGGGGGGGGCCGTGGGTCAGGGTGCTCCATAGCGTGTCCCACACTTGCCCTGCCTGACTACCTGGCCTCCGGAAGGGTGCGAGAGGGTCCCCTTGGAGGGTCTCCTTGAAGGGGCCCCAGCACCCCCTCCCCTCACACGCTTCTTGTGCTAGTATGTAGTGTAGTGTTGCCATCGCTTCCGTCCACCGTGCTATTGATCGACGGTGCTTTCAAATGGCTGTTGTGAACATTTTATTGTGAGACCCCCCAACCCTCCCTCTCTCCCCCCCCACACACATCAACGGCTGTGCTAACATAATATTTCTGTTGAGTTGCAGGTTCTACCCCTCCCCCATTTTCGGTGGAGTGAGCCACGAAGGAACATCTGAGACAGTGTTTGAGAGTGAACAGTAACTGTTAAGTGCAGCATGTGGCACTGGTGTGTGTAATTTAGTGCAGGTGTTAGTGGCCGTGCGAGGGAGCAATGGCCATGCGGAGGTCGCCATGTACCATCGGCGGAGCAGCAGCCTGACGGGCAGTGCCAAGGTGTCTGAAAACCCGGTGTCCGCCGCCCAGGCCAGGCCCAGGCCCCGTCCGCCCCAGAGGGCCTCGAGTCTCGACGTGGGAGACCATGGCGTGGCCGGCGGTGGCAGCCTCGATGAGGGAGAAGCCTCACGGCGGGGGCGACCGGAAAATTTGGCACAGGCCGCCATATCGGCGGCTCACAGCGCCTATGAAGTCCTGGAAAACCGCAGCGAGGCCATCTTCCAGCGATTCGACCACTCGATGGACGAGCTGGAGAATGGCCCGCTGGTGCAGACGGCGAAGGCGACTGTCCAGCGAGCCGCCATCGTCATTGAGAAGCCAGTGGGGAAGATAAAGCAGAGTCGCTTCGTGGAAGAGGTGAGCGGCGTCATCACTGAGATCGAGAACACTGAAGTAGTGCAGGCGGCAAAGGGCAGGGCCCGCCAGGCCTACATGTACGTTGAACCCATCAGCGAGAAGATCCTGAGTCGTGTAGGGAGCCTTGACGCAGACGACGAGGAAGTACAGTTCGTGATTCCCCCCTCGATGCAGAGGTCTTCAGGCAGGACTGTAGACGCCACGGCCAAGTGTAGACCTATATCAAGGCTGTACGAGCAAGATAGTAAACTAATTAAGATAGACCCTACTCAGTATGTTGCTATACAAGAGGAAGTTCCTGAAATTCATGTGTCGGGTGAAGATGGAAGGTGTTCCGTCCTCTCTCAAGGTAGTGATAATTTGCTCAAGGTCAAAGCTCCTGACCAAATCAGTATAGTGTCTGCCACTGATTCAGAGAGACAATACGAGATCGTTCGTCCTTATAAACTGTATCGGACTCCTCCTCTTTCACCTCCGAGACATAAAGAACACAGACATTCCTTGCAAGTGAAATTGTTTAATAGTGGTGTGAAAACTTCCCTCGTAGACGAGAACTCTGAAAAGCGTAGGTTACTAGACGATAAATCAGAGTCGTGTCACTGTAGTAATGGCTCGAGGTCGGTTCGCTTTTCTGACGACGACCCGACGTCAGGAGCGGGGAGCAAGACGGAGAGCAGCTTGGTTCCTAACACGGCGGATAAGCAAACTTCTGCCACCTTGGGGGTCAAGAGGATGGTGGATGTATGTGAGAGAAGACCGGCACTGAAGGACTCCAAGTCTCCTCAGGCGATAGACAAGAGGAACTCAATGCTAGACGAGTGTGGAGAGGACGAACCTTTAGTCCCCATAGAGTGCGTGCAAGGCTCCAGCATCGCTAAGATCAGAGAGAAGATGCGAGAATTCAACTACAACATCGTCTGCATCAACGGCAAGACTTTCTATGTGCCTAAGTCCGTCGTGAAGGAGCCGGAGGGAAAGGAAGTGTATGGAGGAGCCTCGGCTTTCTTCGAGTCTTCTGAGACCATAGACTGGAAAACTGTTAAAGGTATACATTTAAGAAGTTTACTGATAAACTCCCATACGAAAAATAATAATTGAAGGATGATATATATATATATATATATATATATATATATATATATATATATATATATATATATATATATATATATATTGTATTTTATATAAACATTTTACTGAGAGCAATAGTTAAGCATAATATATATAATAGGCTACCCCATTTCCCTGTTCTCCTATTCACTTTAATAGTTTGCTAGTTGCATGTTAGTCAGGGCGATCGTGCACTAGTTGCATGCTAGTCAGGGTGACTATGCGTGCTTCTTTTTTTTCTTGGCCTATCTAAACTTTAGCTTTTAAGTTAAAACACAAAATCCATCCAAAACTGCAAAGTTCGCTTGCTCTTTTTTTCCGCTTCAAACTTTAAAAGTCATTAACCTTTTTTTTTTATTAACAAAAGCTTGTAATTCAATAATGCAGATTGATAAAGTTAATCAGGAATCAAAAACTGAGCAGAGGGATTAACGAGGGATAACATAGACTTGTACTTCATCAACTAAGCCAGCAGAACTGCACTTACACCTGTAACCCAACAAAAGAAAATATTAAAACTAAACTTAAGCCAGCCACTAAAGATTTTTTTTATTGCCCGCTGGAAAGCTTGGGTCAGTACTCCTTATTGTGCTGGAATATAGAATGTTCCTTGACGTAACAGAGTGACAGAGAGAGAGAGAGAGAGAGAGGAAAGAATGAAGGAAGGAAAGGAACGATGGAGGGAGATAATCTCACAAACTTTGACAAATTACGAAAGAAGTATAGGTGGTGGAGGAGGGCCAGGCCTTCCAAGTTAGGTTATCAGCGCACGCACACACACACACACACACACACACACACACACACACACACACACACACACACACACACACACACACACACACACACACACAGGAGCTTGGACTCCACCCCTGCAACTCAACTAGGTGAGTACACACACACACACACACACACACACACACACACACACACACACGGGAGCTTGGACTCGACCCCTGCAACCTCATCAACTAGGTGAGTACACACACACACACACACACACACACACACACACACACACACACACACACACACACACACACGTATGTTTCCCCATTGTCTAGAGATTTATCAAGTCATTATTAAGCTCTGCTCAGAGCGATGGGTTACCTTCAGTAAATGCTTTCTCTGTATTAAATGTGCTTCTGACAGATTAACTGCGTAGAACACAGCTGCGGCTAGGATGAAAGAAGTGAACACTGTAACATTGTATAACACAGCCGAGGCTAGGATGAAAGAAGTGAACACTGTAACATTGTATAACACAGCCGAGGCTAGGATGAAAGAAGTGAACACTAACATTGTATAACACAGCCGAGGCTAGGATGAAAGAAGTGAACACTGTAATATTGTATAACACAGCCGAGGCTAGGATGAAAGAAGTGAACACTGTAACATTGTATAACACAGCCGAGGCTAGGATGAAAGAAGTGAACACTGTAACATTGTATAACACAGCCGAGGCTAGGATGAAAGAAGTGAACACTGTAACATTGTATAACACAGCCGAGGCTAGGATGAAAGAAGTGAACACTGTAACATTGTATAACACAGCCGAGGCTAGGATGAAAGAAGTGAACACTGTAATATTGTATAACACAGCCGAGGCTAGGATGAAAGAAGTGAACACTGTAACATTGTATAACACAGCCGAGGCTAGGATGAAAGAAGTGAACACTGTAACATTGTATAACACAGCCGAGGCTAGGATGAAAGAAGTGAACACTGTAACATTGTATAACACAGCCGAGGCTAGGATGAAAGAAGTGAACACTGTAACATTGTATAACACAGCCGAGGCTAGGATGAAAGAAGTGAACACTGTAACATTGTATAACACAGCCGAGGCTAGGATGAAAGAAGTGAACACTGTAATATTGTATAACTCAGCCGAGGCTAGGATGAAAGAAGTGAACACTGTAACATTGTATAACACAGCCGAGGCTAGGATGAAAGAAGTGAACACTGTAACATTGTATAACACAGCCGAGGCTAGGATGAAAGAAGTGAACACTGTAACATTGTATAACACAGCCGAGGCTAGGATGAAATAAGTGAACACTGTAATATTGTATAACTCAGCCGAGGCTAGGATGAAAGAAGTGAACACTGTAATATTGTATAACTCAGCCGAGGCTAGGATGAAAGAAGTTAACACAATAACATTGTATAACAGCCGAGGCTAGGATGAAAGAAGTGAACACTATAACACTGTATAACACAGCCGAGGCTAGGATGAAAGAAATGAAGGAACACTGAAATCAGTTACGTGAACTTATAAACCGTAATGAACTACCTCATCAAACTGAAATTTCCAGGTATAGAGGTGAGGAGAGTGGGAGGAGGGGAGGGGTGAGTGGGAAGAATGGAGAGGGGAGGGGTGAGAGGGAAGGGGGAGGTGGTAGGTGTGTGGTGGTTGTCAGGTATGTGGTGGTTGTCAAGCGTGTGGTGGTTGCAAGGTGTATGGTGGTTGTCAGGTGTGTGGTGGTTGTCAGGTGTGTGGTAGTTGTCAGGTGTGTGGTGGTTGTCAGGTGTTTGGTGGTTGTCAAGTGTGTGGTGGTTGTCAGGTGTGTGGTGGTTGTCAGATGTGTGGTGGTTGTCAGGTGTGTGGTGGTTGTCAGGTGTGTGGTAGTTGTCAGGTGTGTGGTGGTTGTCAGGTGTGTGGTAGTTGTCAGGTGTGTGGTGGTTGTCAGGTGTGTGGTGGTTGTCAGGTGTGTGGTAGTTGTCAGGTGTGTGGTGGTTGTCAGGTGTTTGGTGGTTGTCAAGTGTGTGGTGGTTGTCAGGTGTGTGGTGGTTGTCAGATGTGTGGTGGTTGTCAGGTGTGTGGGTGGTTGTCAGGTGTGTGGTAGTTGTCAGGTGTGTGGTGGTTGTCAGGTGTGTGGTGGTCAGATGTGTGATGGTTGTCAGGTGTGTGGTGGTTGTCAGATGTGTGGTGGTTGTCAGGTGTGTGGTGGTTGTCAGGTGTGTGGTGGTTGTCAGGTGTGTGGTAGTTGTCAGGTGTGTGGTGGTTGTTAGGTGTGTGGTGGTTTTCAGGTGTGTGGTTGTTGTCAGGTGTGTGGTAGTTGTCAGGTGTGTGGTGGTTGTCAGGTGTGTGGTGGTTGTCAAGTGTGTGGTGGTTGTCAGGTGTGTGGTGGTTGTCAGATGTGTGTGGTGGTTGTCAGGTGTGTGGTGGTTGTCAGGTGTGTGGTGGTTTCCAGTGTGTGGTGTGGTTGTCAGATGTGTGGTGGTTGTCAGGTGTGTGGTGGTTGTCAGGTGTGTGGTAGTTGTCAGGTGTGGTGGTTGTCAGGTGTGTGGTGGTCAGGTGTGTGGTGGTTATCAGATGTGTGGTGGTTGTCAGGTGTGTGGTGGTTGTCAGGTGTGTGGTGGTTGTCAGGTGTGTGGTGGTTGTCAGGTGTGTGTTGGTTGTCAGGTGTGGTGGTTGTCAGGTGTGTGGTGGTTGTCAGGTGTGGTGGTTGTCAGGTGTGGAGGTTGTTAGGTGTGTGGTGGTTGTCAGGTGTGGTGGTTGTCAGGTGTGTGGTGGTTGTCAGGTGTGTGGTGGTTGTCAGGTGTGGTGGTTGTCAGGTGTGTGGTGGTTGTCAAGTGTGGTGGTTGTCAGGTGTGTGGTGGTTGTCAAGTGTGGTGGTTGTCACGTGTGTGGTGGTTGTCACGTGTGTGGTGGTTGTCAGGTGTGTGGTGGTTGTCAGGTGTGTGGTGATTGTCAGGTGTGTGGTGATTGTCAGGTGTGTGGTGGTTGTCAGGTGTATGGTGGTTGTCAGGTGTGGTGGTTGTCAGGTGTGGTGGTTGTCAGGTGTGGTGGTTGTCAGGTGTGGTGGTTGTCAGGTGTGTGGTGGTTGTCAGGTGTGTGGTGGTTGTCAGGTGTGGTGGTTGTCAGGTGTGTGGTGGTTGTCAGGTGTGTGGTGGTTGTCAGGTGTGTGGTGGTCAGGTGTGTGGTGGTTGTCAGGTGTGGTTGTCAGGTGTGGTTGTCAGGTGTGGTTGTCAGGTGTGTGCTGCTAGAGAGACTTGGGTCTCAGGTTTTAACAAATACTTCAATATATTCTTGTTGATATTTGATATAATGAAACTGATCTTCAAAATCGTTTTATTTCTAATTAGGCCAGAGCTTAATAAACCTGAGGTTCATTAAACCTGAGCTTAAGTAAACCTGATTTCCATTTAAAACGAGCTTCATTAAACCTAATCTCCATTAAACATGAGCTCCATTAATTCTGGTCTTCATTAAACCTGATCTCCATTTAAAGCGAGCTCCCTTAAACCTAAGCTCCAAAGCTCCATTAACCCGGAGCTCTAATTAATTTGAGCATCGCTAAATCAATGTTTTAAGAGCTAACAGTAAATTTGAAGACAGTCTAATTGTTCTTGACTATTTCTCTAAGACTGTGTTGTTGTATGTCTCTACCGCTCTATTACTCTATAACTTCGCGTTCCTTCTCTTTATATTTCATCATTTCTCTTCCATTAAACACAAATACATAAATTGTTGTCATTTTCAATTCTGTTTTTGAATGTTGCAAACTTGGGACGCACCTGCATAATGTTTCCGGGTTTATTGGTATTAATATTTTTGATCCTGCATGTGCTTGGTTTATAAAAATATATTACATGAATGAATGATTATATATATATATATATATATATATATATATATATATATATATATATATATATATATATATATATATATATATATATATATATATATTATATATATATATATATATATATATATATATATATATATATATATATATATATATATATATATATATATATATATATATATATATATATAATGGTGTACCGAATAGGTAAAACTCGTCAATTAGCAAGAACTTATTTAAAATTAAGCTCTTTCTAAATTTTTCTCTTATACGTTTAAATATATATTTTTTCATTTATGTTAATGTAAAAGTTAGTAATTTTGTATCAAAAGAACCT